CCGACCATCCAGTCGATTTTGATTGGCTATAATTCGGCCTGACTTGTCGCACCAGCCATTGGACCCGACGATTTCGATTTCAGCTTTGAGACCCCCTAATGACGGCCGGATCACGGGCGACCGAGCCGTCGTCGAGTACGAGGTCTCCCACGACCGGAGCAGTGGCGACCGCAGCACATACAATTGACCTTGTACGACCACCCGACACAACCTCCGCGTAAGACGCTGCGGCGCCGGCCGATGAGTCACGCACGCGACGTGAAGAACTCACGGACGCCGTACCGTCACTTTCCACCATGGTAGTAGCCAAACGCTTACGACTGATGGTTGTAGGACCACGATTTGGCCGCTTGCGCGTGTTTTGAGCGGGATTGGCACTGACCACGTTCTTGCTACGAAGCTGCATATCAAACTTGAACCGAGAGGAGTATTGCAAAATGAGAGTGAATAGGCGTGAGCCTCACCCATATGCGTGGTGGTCAGAATAGCACAACCGACACGACCTTTCCATCCGTTACGCAACTGCGTTTCCATTTAGCAAGGCCATATCCATCACGATCGCTAACGATAGGGTTCCCCTTTACCCACGATGCATGCATACACCACCTAACGTACACAAGCGTCATAATTGCTCGCATTCATATAAATGATCGAGTGTTCGAACATCCTCCTTCCATTCTCGAGCATAATCTGCTCGCTAACCTTCCTCGTGCTCGAAAGACGACCATGTCCTTTTCGATTAAAACAATATTGTACGGCTATTTTGACCAATGAAACGCAGTTTCATTGGTCTAAGCCAATCATATCGCGCCCAATGTGTCCTGTTAAGTGCGAATATGGGATTCCTGTTAAGTGCTGTCACATCGCCGGACGTTATACTTGATTAAAGTATGTGAATTTCGATAAAGTACGACCGCGCACTTGACTGAAATTCACGCAACTTTCCGATTAGGTGCGAATGTGAAAGCGCGCGAGGACTGCAGCAAGCGACGACGGCGCGTCGCAAATACCGGTTAACAACGCTTCGCATTCAAAAGTTCCTACCAGCTCACCCCGCACGGGACCTGTTTTTGTGCTCGAAACTATTC